CCAGTATCGGCGGGCAAGCCACACTGCCCTTTTATAAGCTCAGCTACCTGTGGTGAGCACACTTAGGAAGCTGGGAGCGCACTGTACTAATGGGTAGCAGAGCTGTAATGCTTGCTAAGAACATGTAAATATATGCTAAGAACAATATTTGCATTTACTTACTGGGGCTTCTTTTAAAAGCTCGTTTTATAAAGCACTTTGGATGCAAATCAGCTTTCTCCAGGAATATTTCAGTGTTTCACCTATTAACACTATGCTTAAAAAAACCCTGACTGAAGTTATCTCTTAAGTTACAGCATTTCCTTACCCTCTGAAAAAACGCTAGTCAATCGCTACCAGACTGCAGTGGTGAGATTAACTCCTTCCTGCACAACGGGTGAATTCACCTCCCTGCGTTCTGTGCCCACAGCTTAACTTGGCGATGAGAAACGCCCAGGCTTTCTGCCGTGTGGTGCCTCTGAGGCTGATGTCCACCGTTAAAGAAGAGACCAGCTACAGCACTGCCTGTGAGCAAAAATATATCTCAGCTGACAGAATGTACTTCATGATGGAGCTGCGGTACCTTACTTGACAGGTCTAAACATTTGCAGCCAACAAGTTAAAGGTTGTTTAGGTTGCGTTCCCAAAATTATACTTTACCTGCGTGTTGACAAGATCCAACACACTGATATGCATTAGGCTTGCCATGATCACTGCTTTTTTTCTTACTTACTTTTTTCCTCTCTCTATTTTTTTTTTTTTTTTCCCCTCTCTCTCTCTCTCTCACACTTCTCCAGCATCATTCCTTTTGACTTCCAGGCTACCATCTGTGTACCCTCAGGGAGTCAACAAGAGAAGAACAAGGGCCAGAAACCAGAAAACAAGTGAAAAGACTTAAGCAGGAACTTCTTGCAATATAAAGAGCCTCAAAAGCACAAGAGAAAATGAGGTAAGAGGAATCCCCTGCTCGAATTAAAAACTGATAAAAATGTAGTTGAAAAAGGTGGGGAGAAAAAAAGAGACTGATTTTCCCTTCATCTTTCCAGATACATGTATTTTACTTGCATTGCCTAGTAAAGCACACTCACTTGCTGCAGATTTGGGTTCAGTCACTTCCAGCAGGACAGTCCAGCCTATGACAATATGGACCTAGAATTTATTGTAACAGTTCAGCTGTAGGCCAGATAACACAGGCAGAAGCTAGATGGAAGACATCCCACATGCCACAGCTTGGACAGCTCTGATAAAGAGATGCCAACTTTTTCCTGCAGTATCTTTTCTTCACTTCTCCCCTTCATATTTAATTTCAAAGTACCCAGCTAAGCCACATTTAAAGCCAGTCTTCAGACACTATTAATACACAGGGAGTTATTCCAACATCTCCTACAGACTGTTTGTTTCCAGTGATGTAAAGACAACTCCAACAGCAGAAGTGGACTTTTCCACTCGTTGTTGGGGAAGTGGATTAAAGTGGGATCCTTGGAAGTGGTGCAGGAGGTGGAGAAAACATCCGGTAGCCACATGATGAGGCATGTTTTGCTGACACAAGGCACTCATGAATAGGCAAGCTGAAGACAGTTTATTTTCTCAGTCTTGGGAACAAGCCTAGAATCCAGGTGAAGTAAGTAAGCACTGAGCACAAGATCCCACCAACGCATAAAGATGTCATCTCACTCACAAAACTTTTTGCTGACATTGCTCAGTATTTCCTCACGCAGTTAATGAGGTCAGGTGTTCTACAAGGGAATTCTGGCTAGGTCTTTGGAGCAACCTCAGCTCCCTCTGGGCACACCAGAGAAAAGATGTGAGCGGTAGCAGGGAGGCTACCACTGGTTTTACACTCTCTCTGTGAATCACTGTGCCATCCTCAGGCTGGTGCCAAGGTCAGCACTGCAGGCTAATCCCCAGACTTCATGCTTCTGTAGATCCAGCAGCCCTGGAGCCACACACACATAGCCTGGGGACACAAGAGCCCTTATTCCAGTAACCACAACTGTTTGGCAGTTTCTTGTACCTTAGAGTAGGCTTCTGCTCTTCTAACCCCAAGCTGCCCTTTCATTTGGACATGATGTGGGTGAAACCATGTATTCATAATCTGTAAAGCGCCTGCTTCGCATGTTACTCTTAAAGCACAAGCACAGTTTACCACAATACTCATATTTAATCCCAGTGGTTTCCCTGAACTATGAGCAATTCAGTGAAACAAAGCATCCTCTGTATCGTCTGTAACCAGTTTTAAAAGCCCAGATGGAGGAAAATACTCTTGGTTTTAATTAGCAATATCCTTCACATGAATCCCCTATTAACCAAAGCAGAATACTATATTTCATCTCACTTCTAGTTTACTTTCTACTGCCTCTCTTCTCTGTGGTTTACCAGCAGGAAACCACTGGAGGGGACATATCCAGATAAGATTAAACAACATATTACCACCATATTTACTATAACCAGGCTGAAAATTTTTGTACTAGATGCCAAAATGAGACTCACAGCCATTTTGACTTCCATTCACAGTGGCAAGAAGCTGTTCTTTAAAATCCAAACTATTTCACTAATTCTCCAACTACTTAACTTACGACAGGCCGTTTTAATTATTATTTATTTTCCCTGAAATGCACTTCAGACAATAAGTTAGCTTCACCCTGATTGAAAGTAACAGGAAACAGGATCAGGGTGTCCTGGCAGTGGACAGCTGTATCACCAAGGGTAAGACCATGGCAAAGCAAGGCAGCTGTAACCTCTCCTCTGCTGAGAAGCTTTTGGAAAGCCAAGGGGCTTCCTTCTAGTGGTGGTGAGACAAGCACATGCCTGGCTGTATTCCTGAGAGCCTTTTGATGGACACAAAGCCTTAAGAGTACAGATGTGGAAAAAAGTGGCAGATGGAAGCAGGAAAAAGGTGAATTTCTCTTGTGCCATGCTGATCAAACTGTACCATGGATATTTCTAGACTGAAATCTCCAGGCATGGTCATGCTGGGTAACATATAACCACCCTGCAGTAGTGTGAGCTGACTTGCATACAACCTGTGAAATTTGCACCCATCACATACATCACTTTGTTATTGACTGGGTCAATAATAGTCAATATCTAACATCTGTGTTCAGTTTTACTTGCAAAAAAACCTCCAATAGTCTTTCATGGGATCAGTACCTTCCCACACTTCTGACAGAGTGCTGCTGTGCTCTTTATCAGCAACCTTCAGTGACTTGAAAAGACATCTCTAATCCCTTAACTGTTTCACAGATACTGAGACTGCATTCATTCCTGAGGAATTTCTCCTGCCAGGTAATAGAAAGTCCACCCAGTAAGGGAATCTCCTCACTGTAAATAGGTTGCAACATCTGACTCTGCTGGTTGGGAGGGAAAAAAGACTGCACTAAATTGGCATGATGAGGCATGTGAATGAAGTCAGTCAGTGAGAAAAGACAGCCCAGGCAATAAGAGACAGGCTGCTTCAGGGCATCTCCCAGGGAACTTTTGCTGGCAGGTCTCCTAAGGTCTGCATCTTAGCTTAGGCAAACTGATATATGTACCAAAATTCCATTTCAGTTATTACTGAGTTCAGATTTTAATATAAGCATTCTTCTTTTTCTTTTGGCTGCTGTTAATTTGACAAGCATGTTTTCTGGGACTGACATTTTCCAGACTTGGTTTTAGCACATGACAAGTTCGGGGTATTTGAAAGATGAAAGAAAACCAGCAGAGCTGTTAAAGCATGTAAAGATTATTTTCCACATGATCCAAGCAGAACTTTTGCACTTGAGTAGCTCAGAAAAATCTGAAATTAGAAACTGTAAACATAATTATTTTGTAAAAATACTTTGTTCTTGATGGAAAAATGTTCAGAGCTAACTTTTAAAGACATTCTAAAGATCTGGCATTTCTTAGTTGGCAGTTTTACTATGTTCATTAAGACTTTCATTTTAAGATGCTTTAAGGAGATATAATTGGATGGGAGGTTTCTCAAATGAAATAAAAATATTGTATACATTTAGACTAGATAGTTCTTTCAACAACTTAGGCAGGATGAAAAAGAGATGATGCTATGGTATCACTATTGATC